TTGCCAGTCTGATGTCTCTACTCTTTACTATTTTTTCGAGACTGGACATTGCTCTCCTCCCAAGAAGTAAGCGTCTTCTGATTTCCTGGCCACAGTCTGCATCTGCAGTAATCTTTGCACCTAGAAATACAAAGTCTGTCACGGCCTCCACGGTTTTCTCCCTCTATTTTCCAGTTGTCAATCATTCTTGTTGCCATAATCTTGGTTTTTTTTTATGTTTAACTGCATCCCAGCTTTTGCACTTTCTTCTTTCACCTTGGTTAGACGGCTCCTCAGCTCCTCCTCACCTTCAGCCATCAAAGTGGTATCATCTGCATATCTAAAGTTGTTTGTTTCTTCCAACAATTTTAATTCCAGCCTTGGATTAATCAAGCCCCGCACATCAAATGATGTTTTCTGCATACAAGTTGAATAGGTAGGGTGAGAGTATGCAGCCTTGCCGGATGCCTTTCCCAATCTTGAACCAGTCTGTTGTTCCGTGGTCAGTTCTTACTGTTGCTACTTGATCCTTGTAAAGATTCCTCAGGAGAGAGACAAGGTGATTTGGTTTTCCCATACCACCAAGAACTTGCCACAATTTATTATGATCCACACAGTCAAAGGCTTTAAGAATAGTCAATAAAACAGAAATAGATGTTTTTCTGAAACTCCCTGCCTTTCTCCATTATCCAGCGGATATTGGCAATTTGGTCTCTCGTTCCTCTGCCTTTTCTAAACCCAGCTTGAACATCTGGCAACTCTCGCTCCATGTATTGCTGGAGTCTTCCTTGCAGGATCTTGACCATTACCTTACTGGCATGAGAAATAAGGGCCACTGTACGGAAGTTTGAGCAGTCTTTCGCATTTCCCTTTTTTGGTATGGGGATATAAGTTGATTTTTTTCCAGTCTGATGGCCATTCTTGTGTTTTCCATATTTGCTGGCATATGGCATGCATCACCTTGACAGCATCATCTTTTAAGATTTTAAACAGTTCAGCTGGGATCCCATCATCTCCTGCTGCCTTGTTGTTAGCAATGCTTCTTAAGGCCCATTCAACCTCACTCCTCAGGATGTCTGGTTCTAATTCATTCACCACACTGTCAAAACTATCCTCGATATTATTATCCTTCCTATACAGATCTTCTGTATAGTCTCGCCACCTTCTCTTGATCTCTTCAGCTTCTGTTAGGTCCCTGCCATCTTTGTTTCTTATCATACCAATTTTTGCCTGAAATTTACCTCCAATGTTTCTAATTTTCTGGAAAAGGTCTCTTGTCTTTCCTATTCTGTTGTCTTCTTCCACTTCCATGCATTGCTTATTTAAAATTTAAAATTTAAAAGGCATATTGAATCCTTATTAAGATAACTTTCTTGGGAAAGATAAATGTTGAGCATCCTTATCCAGAGTTCTGAAATTCAAAATTCATTGTTTTTTAACAAGGATCACTGCATCCCTTATAATGAACAGATTTGTATCTGCGGAGCATCTGAAATTGAGAACATACCACACTTATTATTTCATTGTAAATTGTCTCATAAGGTGAGGACTTCTACCTTCGTCCATATATCAAACAGACAATGTATTGGAAATCTCACATCAGAACATTTAATGTGTGGCCAAGACCAAAAAAATCCCATATAAAACAGTTCTGTATTTAAACAAAACAATACGTTTGAGAACTCCATATGTGAGGCTGATTGGCGTAAATTGTAGGGGTGATAAGGAAGTATGATGTATATAATTAGTTTTACCATATTTATTTACTGTATTATAAGTGTCTTCTTTTAACTTACTACATAGAGTGCAATCAAGTCTTATCAAACCTTGTTGTTTGGTTTGGCATTGTGATGTGGCCTAAGGGCTAATCAATAAAAAATATTGCTATTGTTATTGTTTCATGGGTCGCAGAGATAGTGACACCTATGCTTTCTGATGGTTCTAGCACAAAATTACAGTATTTTTTAAAAATGTATAGAATTATCTCCAGCTATATGCATATAGCTGGAGATAATTCTATACATTTTTTTAATACATGAAACATACATAAATTTTGTGCTTAGACTGAAAAGTTCTAAACACTTTTGGTCTCAAGAATTTTGGGCAAGGGATACTCAATCTGTATATCTATCTGGAATGCAGTAGTGCAATTACCTGTGTCACTTGAATTATTCCCAGTCTTCCTTTAACAGTATGCTAAACAAAATATTTTCCAAAAGAAGTCGAATTTGAACAGTTTTGCTCAATTTTCTTACAGCTTATATATAGCCAATAAAATCAGGTACATGGGTTGCTGAGTGCGGCAGGATGATAGGAGTATTGGAAAAATATAGCCTTGCAATATGTTTAGGTGGGAAGAATGACTTGAAAACTTAAATAAATGCTTTCAGCACTTATTTCAGCACTGTTTGGCAGGAGAATGGATGAGTAAATCCCAATCGTAATACATGATTGCAACTTCTGTGAGTTTTCTTACAGCTACATTGAGAACAACACTCCTTGGTTATTTAGCCTTGAAAAAAAACTGGGTTATCAACATTTATAAAGAAATTATATATCTTTATATGGCACAAAATAAGAGGTTATTAGAAAACTAATATTCATAATATAATATGAATATAATATAATATATAATATACCTTAAACCTAGCACATTAGCGCTGTATTAAACTGGTCACTAGAATATACTGTGTGTAAGCAGCAATCTGTTGTTGGCATCCTGTCATTTTTCTATGAAGTCTAATTCTTGTTTTCTATGTCTTAATTCTGACATTTAAAATATCTGTTCTAGAATCCCATTAGATTTATGCTGCCTTAAAACAATGAAGGGTGAAATTAATCGATTCCAGCATGCAGTTCCCACCACGTTTTCTTGGTCAGGCTATTAAATTCCCTGCATTTTCTATTCCTTATATTCAGGAAAAGCATATGAGACATATCAGGAAAATGAGGGGTTTTTTTTGGGGGGGGGCACACAAACATTAATAGTATCAGATGTTGATCTCAGTTTCTTTGAGGTATTCTTTTGTAACAATACAACAATACATGTGAAGTATGAATCAGCTTCTTCTTGATTGTGAGGTTCAAACAAAGAGGTCCATTTTTTCCATAACTCAGTAGCATATTAAAGGTTCTTTATTTCCTTCCCAAATAGCTGACACTGTGCTTGCTAGGAATCAATGATGACATTCCTTATTTGTTACTTTTTCTTCATGGATTAAAAAAAATCACAAGCAGACACAAAGAATTGTGTCTACTGGATTTTGTGCTTTCCAGCCTTCCAAAACACCTGACCATATGTGAGACAATACCATGTTCATACTGCTTTCTGCAATATTCACAAATGTTAATGTCTAACAAAAATATTACAACAATAGAACATATTTGGTTTTTAAATAGCTATAACAGACAAAAAAAGTTTTTAAAAGGCCTTAAGACACAACATTAGATAGCTACTTCTCTGATTTCTTCATTCTGAAGAAGGTTAGATCTTTACATTGCATATAAAATTTCTAATTTTAAAATAGTTAGCTGGAACCAATGTCAATTAATGTTGGCATTGTCTTTTATTTTGCATTGTTTTGTGTGCCTTTCAGTTGTTTATGACATATGGAAACCCTGAGGTGACCCAACCCTGAGGGTTTTTTGGGGGGATTTTTTAGAGAGGGAATTGCCTTTACCTTTCTTTGATACCGAGAGTGGGTTTCCATGGCCAAGTAAGGATCTGCATTCTGGTCTCCCGGAGTCCTACTCCAACACTAAATACACCACACTATACTATTTCAAGCACATAATTTCCCTTGAGTCTTTGGTTTGGAATAAGGAACAATTACAAATAAAACATGTGTAAATTACTAAATAAACTTACTGTAACTAATCCAGCATATGCATAACTGAAATAAATGTATATGCCCATGTTTATTTCACAGGCTGTAAATCTTCCTTTCCTTTGTTACCTACCCTTTGACACATTTAAGATGGTAAGCTCCTCTGGGTAGGAATCTGTCAGTAAAACTTCATGCGTATTAATAGTTTTATTAACTGACATACGTCAATTGTCACTGCTTATGTTTTACAGGCAGTCCCTGGGTTATGAATAATATAGATTCTATAAATTAGTTCTTAGGTTGAATTTGTGTGTAAGTCAGAATAGGTGCAATTTTAAAGGTAACTCCTTCCAAATATTTTATCGAGATTGGTCATTACTCTCCTCCCAAGAAGTAAACGTAATTAGAAGACAGGAAAGCTTGGAGAAGACAATGATGCTCGGGAAAATGGAAGAAAAAAGGAAGAGGGGCAGACCAAGGGCAAGATGGATGGATGGTATCCTTGAAGTGACTGGCTTCACTTTGAAGGAGCTGGGGGTGGACACGGCCAACAGGGAGGTCTGGCGTGGGCTGGTCCCTGAGATCACAGATTCGGAAGCGACTGAACAAATAAACAACAACTGTCACACATACACACACATACTGGCAGTCCCCGAGTTACAAACATCTCGTATACATACATCTCATAGTTAAGAACAGGGGTGAGACATCAGGAAGTGAGAGAAATCTATCCATATGAAGAGAAATTTACCCTGGAAGAGTTATGGGGAAAAGGTGTCTCCACTGAAGCTTTACCACCAATTCTTGTTTCCATAACAAGCATTTTTTTTTCAAAATACAATGATCATAGGAACAGAAAATGAAGTGAAATCTGAACAGGGGCACAGATAGCAAAACAAACACCACAGGGGTGTTAATCCTTCCCTATGCTATCCAAAGATTAGATATAGATAGATAGATAGATAGATAGATAGATAGATAGATAGATAGATAGATAGATAGAGCTGGAGTTGCACTTAAAAAACTGTTCTGACTTCCATACAAATTCAATTGAAGAACAGACCTACAGAACCTATCTTGTTCATAACGGGGACTGCCTGTACTTGACAGTATATTGCATCAAAATATGGTAGGTATCATGCAGACGTTTTGTAATGTTTCTGATGAGCTCTGATTTCTTTTGGTTTATGCTAGAAGTTACATGGGAAGACCAGCAGGAAAAGGTGAATGGTACAATAGCTGATGACAAATCATTCCCGAGAAAGAAACATCATACTCAGCCAGGTTGGTCAGGGTTTGGAAAACCACCAGAAAGCATGAGACTATAAAATTGTTACATTTCATGCTTTTTTATCGAGTGTGTGCTTAATGTATCTTTTTTTTAGTTTGTGACTTTTTTTAGTATGTAGAAATTATTTAGATTAGTCATGTGGCACAGTTCCTTTTTATTTTTTTTGTTAGAATAGCAAAAATAGAGCCACTTGTATTAGAATGCACATTAATTAGAAAAAAAGTGCTTGGCTTAAATAAGATTCTAACTTTCTGTTTCGGAAACGTTTCATTCTTATGTGCCATAATTTAAATATTTGAGGAATTCAGATGTGTGAAAGGTTGCTATATGACCTAAGTCATGTAAATTTTTGGGATTTTTTGGAATTTGGGCACAAATGATTTTTCGGGGAAAGGGGACATATTATGGTTGTTCAACAGAAAAAATAGGGAATTATTGAGAATAAGGAACAGAAGAAATAGGGAAAAAGACTTCGTAGGATGGTACCGTATAATTAAGAAGGCAAGATAAACAAGCAGTAGTGTTTGTTTGGAGGCAAGTGAATTGTTAGATCAATTCTTAAGAGGGATCATTTTAATGGGATGGAAAAGTGAACAATAGATAAGATGCAAATGACTAGAAGCCAGCTATTTTTCTTCCAGGAGGTTGTGCAGTTTGGATTTTGAGTATACTGAGAGCATTTTTTTTGCTGTTATCTACCATCAACTTTGATTTATGATGAATCTATGGAAAAGAAACCTTTAAGAACACTTATAGGGAACTGCCAGCTCTTTAAAGATCGGATTTTTTCCTCTCCTGTCGACTGGATTCAAATATGTTTAACAAAATATTTAAGAAAGCAGATCCATGATATACTTTTGTGCTTCTTCACTCAAATTCAATTCTGTTGAGTAGGTGAGCAATAGTTTGCCATTGGAAAAACTAATCTGATTGGAAAGTAATCTTTGCATTCCATTCCTTTACACCTGTGGTTTGATTATTTTCATTTTGAAATTCTGAAAGGGCTATTTATGGGTATACATTTTAGGCTGTACTGACTTCTTTCTCAGATAATTTGGAACTCTTATCTTCAGGAAGCCCATCTGAGTCCAAGGTTATCAATTTGCATGAAAATTACAGTATTCTATTGAAGACCTGTGGGAAGCCTTGGGTCCTGGGTTTGTAGAAAGGATACCATTTGTGTCTACTGCTATTATAGCAACTACCAATAAGTTGCTGAGCCAAATTCAAGGTGCAGGTCATGACTTATAAAGCCTTAAACAGTTTGGGCCCCGCCTATCTCCGCGATCGCATCTTCTTCTATGAACCGGCACAAACTCTTAAGATCTTCCGGGGAGGCCCTCCTTTTGCTCCCACCAACCGTCTCAAGTACGGTTGGTGGGGATAAGAGAGAGGGCCTTCTTGGTGGTGGCCCCCTGCCTCTGGAATGCCCTTCCAGGGGAAATAAGACAGGCCCCATCCCTCCCCTCCTTTTGTAAGAACTTGAAGACCTGGTGGTTTCAACAAGCCTTTGAGAATGACCAGTTCTAGTCCAGCCCCAAACATTGTTGAATATGACCTTGCACTTCTTACCTATTACCCCAGTCATCCCTCTAATAGGCCCTGGAAATGAGCAGCCACAGACCCATATCCTCTATTGCCGTTAGCCTGTTATAGCACAGTATTTAATTCCCGGCCCCCTCATATTTTGAGTTTGCACTAGCCCTGGCCCGGCTTTTTAATTGCTATGAACAGGCAGGATTACTTTTAATATACACGTGCTATTGTGATAATTTTAAGCTTATGTTGTTTTGTTAATTTTATGTTATGGTGTTGACTTTCTATGTTTCAGTGATGTTACTTGGAAACCGCCCCAAGTCCCCCTTGTGGAGATAGAGCAATATATAAATAAAGTTTTTATTTATTAACTACCAGAATATATTGGAAGCAATACTTATCAGGGATAAGATGTTCTTACTTTATCTTATGTAGCCTGTTGTGTGTATTGTAAACACTCACTGTGTCAGCAATGCTCTCCACTATTAACCCTATCCATTGGCTTCTACTTATGGACGGTAATTTTTGTGATGGAAGCGTCTCCTTGATATTGAAGCAGGTGGTAGCACCATCCTCATGGTTCGATAGCATATAGATCGGAAATGGCTGAATAGAACTACAATGGCTTAGAAGAGAAAGCTGCACTTGAAATAAGTCCAATTACTCAGTAAGGCTTATTTCAAAGCAAGCATGTACAAACTTAAATATATATTTTAGACTGAGCTCAAATTAGTTAGACCGATCTCGATAAATCTCCAACTTAATTAGCATGTTTCTCTTGGTGATGCTTTAGACACTTTTTTTTCCTTTGGTTTTCATTTTTTGTGTGTGTGACGTGTCTCACTCCACTCAAGCAACCATAAAACAATAAAAAGACCACTATTCAGATCAGTGCAGTGTAAATTATTTTATCTCTTTTAATTAAACACCGAATTAAGAATCTAATCTGCCAATAATGTTTTACTGCACCATGCAGCTCATTGTTGAAGAATCTGAGTTTAGGAAAGCGATTGACAGGCCATTGATGAACAGATAAACCTGAATTTGGATATACTGTGGGCAGATAAACTGATCAATCTGGATAATTCTTTTGTATATATGAATGTTGTGTATATGAATGTTTGTCAACAGTCATGGATGTTTGGCGATGTATACTGACTTTTGTATGGACATGGAAATGTTCCTAAGACAAAAATATTGATTTACATGATTATATTTTCAAGGCTCATGTTTAATGAGTACTTGGTTTATATTAATTAGGTGTTTATTATATCAGATATACTAAATCTGTGAATGAAAACAGTACAAATTTCTGTTAAAATGTAAAGATAGGTCAGTAGAGAGGATGTCAGTGGGAGGGCCATGCAGATGAAGTGAAGATGTCCACGAGAGGAGAGAAATGATCCTTGCATGAATTGAAATGATCCACGAGAGGAGAGAAATGATCCTTGCATGAATGTTTACTTAGAAATCCACACAGAAATATCAGTTTTCAAATGTGTTGCTCTGGCCAACAGATACACGAAGTCACACATGTGAAAGTTCTGCATACTTCATCTTTTCACTTAATCTTATTTGCAATCTTGCTTTAACTATTTTTAAGGTGTTGGGATGTAATGAATACTCATTCCGTCTGAAGTTCCAGAAAGCACTAGCTTTGTTTCTTCTTTTTGAAAACACTATCCTTTTCCTGCTTTCCTGTTGTGCCATTTTCAATTTTTTTTTAAAAAAAGAAAAGAATAAAGACTGTTAAAAGATTGTGAACTAATCAATATGAGCAAAGAAAGATTTTAAGACTAATTTATAGTTTTATTCCAAACATATTTTTGAGCAAGCTGAATATTCCTGGACTAAACCTAATCCATCAGTAAATGTTTCTCTTTTCCCCTCCAGAAGTCATCCCCGAGCAGTTGAATGTAACATGGGTTTTCTTTCTCTTAGTCACTAACTTTTTTTCTTTTCCTTTATGGTTTAAATGGATATTTTATTCCTTTTAGTGTTTGCTGTGTTTTCTTTTTCCCATTGACTGACTGTACACTACAGGTTTCTTTCTCAAACAATTGTGACCCTTTCCCTCAGTGTCAATTTTTACCTTCTGAGTACATCCACTCACGCCCATCTTCTTTGTGTCTCTGTCTGTCCATTACACGATGTGATATCAGAAGAAGTGGACTCATCACGAAGGAGAAACCCAGGTCTGTCTCTTCTACTGGTTTTTCTCTGTTCTATTTTCCTTCTAACTTGTCCTGTGATTTTTGTCATTACATTCTTCACCTTTCTCTCATATATATTATTTTCTTCTTTCATTTCCTCTCCCTCCTCTGGCCTCCTTCCCTGTCTCTTTTGTTATTAGGAATATAAACATTTAGAAGGCAAACTACCAGGTTCCAGGAAGGAACAGTGTTTTATAATGAGTATTCAACATATAAGCTAAAAACAACAACTCTGATTCCCCTTGGTTGGAAATTGGCTTATTTTTCACCTTAAATGCCTAAAATGTTTTGAATAGAGTTAAGTTTCTAATGATAAAAGTGGGAATGTGACCGGAGTCTCTATCTCAGTCTCATGGAAATCAAGCATACTTTCCATGGAGATAAACATTACAAACCTTCCTAGATTCTTCTGAACTATGTTCAGATAATGATTTTTGATCATATCACTAGTTTTGATCAGATATTCCCTAACATAACACAAAAATATGTTTTTTGTATTGACTGGTAGCAAAACTACTTTCGTGGAATATTATCCCACTTTCCGGATAAATTGCTTTTTCTGCTTTTGCACCCGTTCCTCCTCTGATAGTGTTATATATGAATTTTTGTTATTTTATTTAATATAATCCTGTCCCATTGTTTTTTCAGAACACTCACATCAGTGTACAGTAAATAAATAAATAATAATAATCACATGAGATGTGTGAAGAACAGTTTGAAAATGGTGCCTTGGTTTAGGAATAAAAGGCCAAATATAATCATGGATAACGTATCCCCTATAAAAATATTTTAGGCTTTCCAGTGTAACTCTACTGGTTTGATCTAGGTCATCCAGTGTGATTCTGTGATCAACCTCTGGTAGAGATTGACCATGTTGTACTGCTGAAGGAACTAGAAATTACTAGAGAGTATTTATTTATTTACAGTATTTATATTCTGCCCTTCTCACCCCAAAGGGGACTCGGGGCTTGCTAAACAGGTTGATATTCCTTTGTATGAAGTACAGCTGAAGCATCTTCTGCAGAGTCTGCTATAAACACTGCATGACAGATATGTGTAAATGCTTAAGAAAGGCCACTGGATGATGTTCAGCAATTTTTGAGGGGACTCCAACATTGAGCCAAGAGAATCTCATTTTGGGTTGGGATCCACAGTTTAAGAAACAGTAGATTAGAGTGACAGCAACAGAAAATGCAGATGAGTCTGACTGAAAATAGGCTAAAATCTGCCTGAAGGCCTGTGGTATGCTATAAAGGTAGCAAAAACGTCATTTCTGGCTAACCCTGTTGCATCCGCAAAGAACCATTCTGCAGAGCTGTTTCGCGTGATCAAAGGAGAACATAAGCCACTCAATAGCCCACTGCAAATAATTAGTTCACTATTTTACAGATAAACTTATTTGGATTTGTTCTGACTAAGGACGATATTACATTAGCGATTTAAAGCAGGTTCTCCCACTTTCCTATCATGTGGCTGCCTCCTGCAGACTTCAGGAAAATGTAGCTTAGGGAAGCTGAGGACTTTTCTGGCTGAGAATTCCAAAGGCCCTGCCCTAAACTATATTTTCCAGAATTCTGCAGGAGACAGCTACATGATAGGAAAGCGGGAGCACCCACTTTTAAATGCTAATGTAATGTCTTCTGACACCAGAGTTGATTCCGTTCTGGTGGATGTAACCTCCTGCTCTGCTTGTCCAGTGTTGATGAATAATATTCAGGTTGTGTCACTTGAGATTTTGGACAGAATCCTAGGAGACATGACTGCCACCTTGCCCTTCATGGATTATTACATTTCAGATCTGATTATGAGACAGAGACGACTCTGGTGATTTTTGTCCATAACTTATATGCGGAAGTGGACAGGGGAGTATGTCCTTTTTTGTTCTGCTGGGCCTTTCAATAGCTCATGATACCATCAAACATGGAATCCTTCTGAGTTGTCAGCGTTTAGCATAAGTAGCCCACAGACTGACTCTAGCCCTTGTAACTCTATGTGTGGTAAAGTAACTCATAAAAGAAAAACGCATGAATCTTCAGTTTTAAGTAGAAAAGAAATAAAGTTGTATTCATAGCATATAAAACAAAACAGAAGAATTGCTCTCACCAAAAACATAACATAAAACGGTCTCTTCGGTGAGTCCTCTTCATTCTACGTTGATAAGCAGACTTGTAACATAAATAATATATAGTTCCTCTTACTCAGTTGTCCATAGAGTGACCTTGACTTGCTTCAGCTCTGGACGCTTGCATTAACTTCTCCCGGCATCATACAAACAAAGGTTTTTCAGCTCAAACCGAGCCACAAGCAAAGCATACAAACACAATGCTTTAACACGGAGAACACAATACTCCAACACGGAGAACGCAAAATTTCATCACGGATAATGCAAAACTCAAAGTACAAACACACAGTGACTTACTATATACATGAGATAAAATAAATTCAATTATCCCATCAATTAACTGTGTCAGCTGCAACAGAAACAGCCCTGATCCTTTCCACAACTTAGGAAAAGTATGTTGCAAACCTTTAGTAGCAACATGAGTCACCATAATGAAGAAGGATATTAACTAGTCTGAGAGGCATATGAATACTTTTAATCATTCACTGGATGAGAAGCCACAAAGCCAGAAGCCAGAAAAAAGATGAAGTCAGCACGATTGCTATAAATTGATGGAAAATGGTCAAAGTTTTAAAGAATCCTTTCTTACAGGCAGGCATTATATACTTACAGTATGCCAAAATAGATTGGGTTTTTGAAGAACACAACAATTTAGTAATCTTAAATATCAGGAATATGTTAAAACGCCTCCTTTTTCCCAATAAGCCACCTCATGTATACAGTATGTCAGAAAGCTTCTGCACTCACATTGAACAATGTACAGCTCTTATCATTTCCTACACATTGCACTTCTTCTTCCAAAGTGTTCTTATTCACCTTTTCTCCTTCAGACTAAATTGTAATTTCTTTTCATGTCAGGAGCGACTTGAGAAACCACAAGTCACTTCTGGTGTGAGAGAATTGGCCGTCTGCAAGGACGCTGCCCAGGGGATTCCCAGATGTTTATATGTTGTACCATCCTTGTGGGAGGCTTCTCTCGTGTCCTCATATGGGGAACTGGAGCTGACAGAGGGAGCTCATCCACACTCTCCCTGGATTCAAACTACGACCTGTCAGTCTTCAGTCCTACCAGCACCCATTGCATCACCGGGGACTCCCTAAATTTTTATGATTTGAGAAGACAAAGTTAGCAATATCCATTGGTCGATTTGTAAATGATTGCTCATGTTAAAATTAGGTATCCAGATGGTAAACCATAACATTGCTGCAATGCAGATATCGTTTATAGACTTTGCATTTCCATTGTAAGAGCCTAAAGACCTGGCTATTTGAGAAGGCATTTAACTGAGTGCTACATTAACTGGTAATGGCAACTGGAACGGAATATGGACTATGAGATTGGTTATGATCCTATGTTGTGACGATGCGGATTAGTTAGTGTAATTTAGATTAGTGTGTATTATTGATATGTTGATTTCTTGTTGTGCTTTATTGTAAACTGTTTTTATATGTTGTACACCGCCGCGAGTCGCCCTAGGGCTGAGAGCGGCGGTCAACAAATGCAGCAAATAAATAAATAAATAAATAAATAATTGTTTATACATGCAATGGTTAACTGGTGGTACATGGCTAAATCCACCGTTCTAAGCAATTTAACCTGTTTTTGGTAATACAGGTTGGGTATCCTTTATCTAGAATCCAAAATTGACCATCATTGTTTTCTGATGGTTCAATAGACATGGACAGGTTTTATGCACAAAATTATTCAAATGTGTTGTACATTAAATTATCTTCAGGCTTTGTGTATAAGATGTACATGAAACATAAAATTGCATCCGGTCTCCAAGATATCTCATTATATTTTTTCAAGTATTCCAAAATCCAAAATACAGAACACTTTGTATCCCAAGCATTTTGATAAGGGAACACTCAACTTGTACTATCAAATATTTCGCTCATTATACTTTTATTGAAAGGCTAAATGACTTTTAAGGTTCTTTTATATTTCTACTTTAAAGTTGCATGCTTAGTTTAGCTTTGAATATAATAACTTTTGTTAGATACTGTAAACTTTGCTATAGACTGCTGTGACCAAGTTGTATTATATAATAAAATTCATGTTTAGACAGGGCTATAATAGCTGTTCTTGCAGTTGTTCACCATCCTGTGTCAGTACGTTCTTGTAACATTTTACATCACAGTCTCATCATGGAAGTGCAATTATTTTATTCTTTTATTTGCAACTCGGGAGTTGATAGCGCAGATAGTGAAATTTTCAATCTTGCCTAAATACATGGTAAATTTTCTGTCTATAGTATTAGCTGGTGGTGAGGCACATTGAGATCATAGAAACATAGAATCATAGAGTTGGAAGAGACTGCATGGGCCATCTAGTCCAAGCCCTTGCCAAGAAGCAGGAATATTACATTCAAAGCACCCCTGACAGATGGCCATCCAGCCTCTGTTTAAAAGCTTCCAAAGAAGGAGCCTCCACCACACTCCGAGGCAGAGAGTTCCACTGCTGAATGACTCTCACAGTCAGGAAGTTCTTCCTCATGTTCAGATGGAATCTCCTCTCTTGTAGTTTGTAGCCATTGTTCCGCGTCCTAGTCTCCAGGGAAGCAGAAAACAAGCTTGCTCCCTCCTCCTTGTGGCTTCCTCTCACATATTTATACATGGCTATCATATCTCCTCTCAGCCTTCTCTTCTTCAGGCTAAACATGCCCAGCTCCTTAAGCCGCTCCTCATAGGGCTTGTTCTCCATACCCTTGATCATTTTAGATCAAGATAATCGTTTTACATTTTTAATTCAGTAGCAATGTTTACTACTGCAAATTAACAAAGTCTGCTGAAATAAATAGAACATTCATGTTTTGATGAAAAATATGGAGTTTTTTCAGCATACACAATATACATCATT